ATAGTTTTTACGTAGGAAATACATCTGTTTTGCTTTGCGGTTGTTCTAAAAGATTTAAAACTGCGTGTATAAATCTGCCTATATAGTATTATCATAAGACATATTTAAATAAGTGTATCGCTCGCGCACACATCCTGCTTACCTTAACAGATGACAGAAATGAGGCGTGAGGAGGAACAAGTCTATCAAATGCCTGCCAGTTCCATCATGATGGACACAGAGCAACAGCTCGATGACGTATAATGTCTCCGACACCGCCTGTAGTCCCATTTAGCAACTTGATAGCAACTGTCTTTTTAAAGAAGCATGGCCAAATTCAAAATTCAAAAGTTTGCTGTAACTGATGTGTTTTATGTCGTAGAACAAAACGTGAAAATATCTAGAATTTGTGTTAGACAAGGACCTTATTTAAGCGATTTTACTGAAACCCCATTTAAAAAACCCATTGACTTTGGGACGAGGGAACCGGAAGTGCTAAAATGCTAACTCGCTTCCGGGTTTTTGCATACAAATTGACGTCATAGTTCCTCCCCTTTATTACTAATGGTGGACATATGTTTTACAGCCAGTTCAGACCAGTCATTTCATCCTTATTAAACAAATAGTAAAGTTTTCCTGAGTCATTTAATTATTTACTGCTGTCAGCTGTTAAGCCACGCGCAAAGTAGTCTTCAATAAAAGAGGTATGCAAAAAGGCATACAAGCTTTAGAAAGCCAAAGCAAACATTAAAATTTGGACATTTTAGCAGCTTTAGAAACCCGGGCTGAAAAAAGTCCAAAAAGGTGGGTCTGCAAAACTTTGTGAGTGTTTGTGGAAGTTCTGACGAGTCTTACTCTCAGAGAACAAAATGGATAAACGAGAAGATTTTCCACTTCTTAATCGATTGTGGGTGTTTGGTTATATTGGGCTTGCGGATACAAAAAAGTGTTAAAGGATGATAATAATAGTAAAAATAAGTGTAAGGTCCAGCCAGTTGGTCCAATGATGGTATCCAATGGTGGATGAAGGTTCACTGCATGTTCGGTCTTTCCAGTGCACAATGTTGATCTATATTAAACTTAACTCGTATCTGACTCCAATTTTAGTATGAGGTGGTTTAGAATATTAATAAATTTATCCTCATTTTATCTGACTCCAATTATAAAACATTGAGAAGGTTATTTTGTTTCCTTTCACATTATTTTAGATTATGATTGAATATTCTTTTGATTTGTTATTATACCTTATTCTCATTTACTCAGATTCCTATAACATCCCGAGTCTTGCACCGGCCGGGTATACAATCTCTTAATACAAGCTTGTCAGTCTTGGTCATTAAACAGAGGCGATTAAACACTCTCCTAAAAAGGCAGAACCCTACATTACTCAATTTAGGAGATTTTTTATGTGGTCCCCATAGATCTGTTATCTACTTCATCAAGACAAAGTATTTTAATAATAATCGCACAGGATTATAAGTTTGTAGATTAAGGCCTAAATATCCACACTTAAATTAGTTTCAACAATATTTTGTTGTTCTAAATAGAAAACCCATAGTTGGCCTTTTGCAGTCTAAGTATACTTGAATTAATGCCAATTTGCTAGTCGGATCTCTAACAACATTGTATAGCGTGCCACGCTGCTCAGTCTAACATGTTTTAGTCCGTTACTAACCTGTACAGTGGCTTGTAGTGCTATGGACAACAACATTTATCAGTGATAATAACACGAGGTTTGAATAATTCAAAACATAATTTATCAGTCAGGTAAATGTATTATGCCAAATTCAATCAGTCAATTCATAAATGATCAATACAAAACATCAAATTATCAAAGATAAATCCAAGATTAAAAGATGCATTCCTGACATTGAAATATACATAACATGGAGCAAGCCATGTTATGGGCTGATCCGGTTAGGCAGAATCGCCCTGAGCCTTTCTCAAACCTTACCTTAAATAATCCAAGAATTCCCTCAAGGAAGGGGGTGTGTGTATAACAAAAGGCATTCACACTTGGTGCTGCCTGTGGAAAGTCACACCCTTCACAGTGGTTCAAAAGATGCCTGAAGTTATATATTTATTGTTTTGATTATGTCTATTTCTGAGAGAATTGTCTGAGACCATTGTACCAATCGCACTGAGACATTTCAAATGATATCAAACATGATAGTTAAAGTCAATTTGGTTAATCTAGAACTTTAAACATTGAAATGACCATATGTGAGATGGGGTGGATGAAGCCAAGTTTCAGCAGACTCAGATGCAAATGCAGCAGGAACTGCTCCCGCATTCCCACCTGCTGGGTTGTGGAGTCACCAGTCTCTGTTTTCAGCTCATGTTTTGAATTGTCAAAGATATCAAAATATTTGCAATATTTCAACTCTTACATAAGTGTCGATCAATATACCTGTGCAGCCCACCCAAGTAAAATTCATCAACAAGATTCATCTACAAGCACGATCGCGTTCATCAATTTTGCTTAAACTTAGCGTTTTAAAGCATGGCTGTATTTCACAAGCAAAGATTCTGACACACTAACATGAAGCAGATGCTTTAAAAAAGGGAGGAAGTACATCAAACTTATTGAAAGATTAATGAGCTCATGGATGCATCAAAGGCAGAGAAATGTCTTTGACACCTTGCAAATTCATCTGGCACTTTCATTTACATGGACACCAATACTCTGCTTTGATGATTAAGATGACACTGATTAAGAGTCTACCATGTAAGCAGCGATTTTTGATTACCTTAAAGGATCACGCAAGTCCCGAAATACAGAGGTTTTTCTTTCCGTTCGCCATGTGGTATCAAATTCCATTAAAACATCCCAAAAGAAAATATGCTGAATGAGAGTGAACTGCTGAACTGCAGTTAAAGTCTAAATATTAAAAATGAAACGCCCAAAATTGTGTGAAATTATGGACGAAACGCAGGATACGCAGCCTGGTGATGCCAAATTAATTGTTTTATACTGAAACTTTCCTTCTTAAAGCACGTCCTTGGTCTCATCTATATTTCTTTGCACGTTAAACACATGCAGGGCCAGCGCAAGCTGAACTGGACACCAATACTCAGCTTTGATGATTAAGGCTCTAGGCAAACAGCAATCACGCCGTTTTATTAGTATGGAAAGCCGAGGAGCGTGAGGGAGGGGGTGGGTGTAGTGAATGAATGTGAAGACCGAGGGGTTCCCACACTATTCTGCTGCCCAAGGCAGCCGCTTAGATCGCCTCTATGGACGCTCCGGCCTTGAACACACATCGGCCACAACAGGAAATAAAAAAAAACTGCGACTGTTATTTGAGTTATTTTTTTCTAACGCGTTAAATATTTCAAATTAATCGTGTGTTAATGCGCTTATTTTGACAGCCCTAATATGTATACTTTTAAACATTCAGTTTCCTTTTTTTAAAATGCTAGGGCCCCATACCTGAAATTGCTTAGGGTCCTCAGATCACCAAGTCCGCCCCTCCTTACAGCTTAGGTTAAATAAAGAACATTCAATAAACTGACGTTTGCTTTTTAAATTTAGATGGCAAAAATAAATAATAATTTAGTATCATTTTAGCCTTGATTAGCACAAGAAAAAAAATCTTTACATAATTATTATAATTATTTAGACTTCTGGTGCCATTCACTTCCATTCGTTTTTGGGCTATAAAAACAACTTGTTATGCTGCTTGATGTTACAAACTGATGTTTTCTTATTATATTATTCTGCTTTGTCTGTTTTGTCATGAACACACTTGTTTGTAGAGTAAGTAGTTTAACTGTTTCCTGCCGTTTATTATTACTAGCCATTTCTACCATAAACAACTGGGGTCCGTTCTTCGTACCTCACTTAAATTATCTAAGATTATTTGGCAGATCCCGTATATTTTAATCTTGATAACTGATCTCTCGCTAATTTGGTTCTTAAAACGAGTTCGCGAATCAGATTAGAATGTCTGGATAAACTGATCTGAGATCGCTGCGTGTGTTGTGAAGGACAGATCTATAGATCCTCGAAATCATGATCAGCAATGCAACGATTGGCTGACGGCACAGCAGCGTAATGACATCATCTGATTAATATTCAATTATCCATGTGAGCAAAATTACATAAAATTAGCAGTAAACGGCTTGCTAAATATGATACGCAATAACCTTCCACATTTGTTGTGAGCTGCAGGCTTTCCACGTTCATGTTTCAAGTGTATTCATCATCTATTTAAATGCAAATCAATGTATTTAGTTCCACATTTAGAAAATATTTTCTTTATTATAGTAGCCGTTTTTTTAATCAGTGTAAAGAATAACTAGTTGTTTACAAAAGCGTTTTCATATTGGTAAAGGAGTCTGCAACTTTTGTGAAGCATCAAATCACTGGCATATTAACTATCAAAACATGTTTATGACTGCATAAATATATTATTGCTTTAAAAAAAGTGACTTGTGCATTTCTATTATACACAATTTGTAATAAAGCGATCTAAAAAGTTCATATCAATAAGTTTTCTCTTTGCACCACCAGGTGGCAATCTTTGTACTTTTATTTCGAGGGTGCAGATTGCATACGTTTTATTAATATGTATAACTTAATTTATTTTATTAATGACTATAACTTTATATATATAGTTTAAAAAAAAATGTACCATTTTCCCAAGTGTATATAACTACTACAGTAAGAAAATATCAGAATTGGGAACATACTTTCTGTATTATCTTTGCTTGAACTAAGCCGATCTAATCCTGTTTATATGAATTGAACCTGCTCCCGATCAGGTTTGACCAAGCAGAACTGTTGCTATGACAACATCTCTCGGATCAGCTTTGAAGAACGAAACGATCCTGGATCGTGTCAAATCGTCAATATCCAAATCCAGCTAACTGAGTAATCCACGTACGAAGAACGGACCCCTGAATTGAAAGTTCTAAAACAATCACAAAAACGAGCTAACTTCCACATCGTAGAATAAGGTCAATGGGACAGTTCCAAACAGATCCTTTAAAATGTTTTTTTTTTCTATTTCCTGCAGAAGCATGGAGACTTTGAGGTTTTCTAGTAACACCATGCAGGTAAGTTTTGTGTGCCAGCGCTGCAATCAGCCTCTGAAGCTCGACACATCCTTCAACGTCTTGGACAGAATGACTATCCACGAGCTCACTGGTATGACCATTCAACACTACACTTCTTTAAACTCATCTCTATGTAGCAAGAGAATGTTTAAAGTTATCTCTTTAAGAAATAGATTGTCTTAGACTTTTCTTTTTTCTATTTTTATTTTTCAGCTCCGTTAGTGATGGTAACAGCCAATAAACAACAAGACAGTGGTGAGAGCAGCAGCTTCCCTGAGGTGAATACACCACATATACACTTTCTTTGTTGTCTTAATGGCTCTCAAGTACATTTACAATTAGTCATTTAGCAGATACATTTGGCCTAAGTGACTTACAATTGAGGTATTCGGTAATTCAACAAGAAGAGTTAGAAGGGGGAGTGTTTTTTTTTTTTTTAGAGAGAGAGAGAAAAGTGTTTCTACAGCTGGCTTGTTAAGACCATTCACATTTTTTTTAAAGAAATCTTGAGTCATTGCGAGAAAGTTTGTGGTGCAAATCTGCAAAACTGTTGCAATTGTCGGTAAAAATAATAGATGAAAGAAGGCGTTTTCTAAAGGTGGTTTGCCAAGTCCCCTTACCTGTGTGAAGGACACTCAGAATGCATAATGTTTTTGATGTTGTAGTTGTCGCAAGAAGGAATGGGAACAGGAGATGTAAGTATATAAACAGTTTATTTAAAGGATGGCACTGAGAACTGAAACTCAATGAAGCTGATTTGCAAGATGGAGATGGGATGACCAATGGAAAGTATCTAAGGAATCAGGAACACAAATAGCTAGGTATGGGGATCAATGACAAACAGAGAGGGAACCAGGACAAAAAACACACTATTAAGGAGATATGCAAATACTGGGGATCACAAGAAACAAGAAAGGTGAATATCTATGACTAGATTATAGACAATGACCGCATGGAGAGTGCAGTGCTTCGTTGCTGTAATGAGGCCGAACACTGAGGCCCCATTTACACTAGTGCGTTTTAGTTTTAAAACGGCGTTTTAGAATGAAAACGATCCGCGTCCACACTAGCGTTGTACCTAGCGTTTCTGAACTGCTCTCCATCCACACCAAAACGCTGAAAACGCACATCACGTGACCACACACACATACTCTCAGGCAATCGTTGCCGCATTTCTACCCAGATGAGAGCTGTGCTGGTCGGACTGCTCATCAAGCATCTCTCGATGCATCTAATCTCACTATATTTGCTAAACGTGATAATTAATTAATCTTGTTGTCTATATCTAACGACATATTCCCTGACTTTGGTCTTTTGAATCGATTACTTGTTCACAGGTAACGTGTTTTGGCTGAGCGCAAAGATAGGTTAATAATTAATCGAACCACGTTCATTCTGTATATTGACTGATCGCTTGCCTTTATTTCCTATAATGTATAAACTTATTGTGGGTTATACTTTCATAATGGCTATTATTGATTATTAAAACTGACATTCAGCAAAGCAGAGTATATGTTTCATATTTTCAATGAAAATGAAAGGAGGCAGTGAGGTTATAAATATGCACACAGTGAAAATGCAGCACGGTGCCTCAGCATTTCAGCTGTCTGTTAAGTTGTTAATATCAAAATGAAAATAGGCAGTTCCTTAAATCATGTTTTCATTTTGTTGTTGAGAAAGTGAAACAAAGTAGCCATGATGATGTGAATAGGGTTATAAAGTACACTGTTCCCTTTGAAGATTTACCGTCCTCGAGGGTCTGTTTTCCATATCAAACTCTTGAAGTCTGAACTTACAAGGAAAGGATGCGAGACTGAACTGTGTGTGTAGGCTACTTAAAGAGCCCATTTTATGGGTTTTTGAAAATTCCCCTCCATGTAGTGTGTAACACAGCTCTAAGTGAAGTGAAGTATCCAGCTAAGGCTTAAATCTGTTAGTGTACAGTGTTTAAAACTTGATTCATCTATAAAAGAGTCGACTCATAGTGCTTCAAACGAGTCGCCTTGATACCGATTCATTAGGTGTTTCACCATGACGTATGAACGAACCCAAGTTATTCACGTGCACGCGCAAACCCGGGAGATTTCAAACCTGAGGCCCCGCCCTTTGACGCAGAAACCCAGACACACACACACAAACATGCCGGTCGATTGAAGTCACACTGCAGATGGATATATTGAGTCTCTACCCAAAGATGAAACCTCAGCATTATAGCCAAGCAGTTGGAAACTACTGGAAACTACATGCTACAAAGAATACTTCATCAGTGTTTGTTAAAGGAAGGATCAGTAAAGAGTAACTTACTGATGGACGTCAGGATGGATTTTTCTTCCTCCATTTCTCAAGTGTAAGTACGTGCGATGAAAGTTGTTGCCTCGTTGACTCTAGCTTGCAAATGTATTTAGTTGTGATTTGTTACTTGTAACCGCGTGTACTGTATCAGGTTAACTGGCTATATTCTCTTATCGCGTGCAAAGTCACGTTAAAAACGCGACGCGTGCTGCTTTGTTAACGGAGCTCCGTGGACGAGGAGTAGTGTGTGTGTCTGTGTGTGCGTGTGCGCGAGCTGTCGTCCGGAGGTGTGTGTTTTTGTGTGTGTGTGTGCGTGTGCGCGCGCGCGTTGTCGAGCAGGGTTAAGTGCGTGTGTGTGTGTGTGTGTGTGTGTGTGTGTGTGTGCAATATGTGTGTGTGTGTCTGTGAAAAGAGCAGAGTTAGAAGCTAGGAGATCTCCTCAACTGTTTTTGGAGTTTTTGCTCAATAAAATAGTTAGTCGTCTGTATTTTCACGTCCATAGTCTGTATTTACATTGACCCACTGGCAGCTAAAATCCACGCCTACACTATCGAGCGTGTATGAACTGATTACTTTTAAATTGCTGATTAGCTGTTTGGCATTTCACTCTGACTGAAGGCAGTCGACCAATCGCAACAGACTGTCATTGGTCCAATCAGCGCAGATTAGCTTCGTGCTAAGGAGGGGTTTGGGAACAAATGAATCACTGGACGATTCATACAGGAGTCGCTGGGATAATTAGGTAAAAATAAATGCAGATTATAAGACCATGAAAGTGTTTTTTGACCTTGCATGCATATTAAACTGTTGTTGGAGACCCTTACAACCAAGATATGACCCTATTCATGTATAATATGGGCTCTTTAATGTTGAGGAAAAACCCCAATCAAATAGTCGAATGTCTGCAGCCCTGCCTCTGCTTTCAGATGTCTCCGTTTTCCTCCATCCACACAGAGACGGAGCAGCAGCGTTTTAGAATGAAAATGGCCTCTCCATCGTTTTCGAAATGCTCCATTTTCGGCGCTTGAAAACTCAGGCGTAGTGTGGACGGATGGCGTAACCGTAGCAGAACTTGTGCGTTTTAAAATTAAAACCGTTTTCTGCCGTTTATTATTCCTAGTCATTTCTCCCATAGGCGACTGAATCGGAAGTTCAAAGACAATCGTGAAAACAGGCGCACTTCCGCATTTTAGAATAAGGTCAATAGGACCAGATACAGAACACAAGACCTTTTTTGTCAGGGCCACATCTTTCCCAGTCTAATACCCCTTGCAATCTAGACCTCAACATCTCTCTGACCTTATAGATGGAACTTTCTTTGAGAATGATCGGAGGAGGGGATTCTTCTGCCTAACCAGATTCTGTGGAAACGGGAGTAGAATGGTTTCAGTAAGGACACATGGAAATTTTAAATTTTATATTCTAGGGGAATGTGCAAATGGTATGTGATTTGGGTTGATCAATTCTGTGATGGTAAAGGGACCAACGAAGCTGGGACTCCATTTTCAGCATCGTTGATGGAGACTCTTATCCTGGTTGGACAGCTAGACCTTTTGACCAATCTGATATTCAGGGGTGTTGCATTGGATATCAGCTGTAGTTTTATGTCTTCAGACAGCCCGTTGTGGAGATGATAGTGAGCTGAGTCCTAGACTTCCTTGCTCTTTTGGAACCAGTGGTTGACAGACGAAACATCGTAGGGTTCACCTAGGGCTGGACAATAATTCGATATCAATATATATCCAGAGCTTAAAAGTATTCTGGAGATCCGGCATGGTGAGAGAAAAAAAATATTTTAGAGCTTGCGCATGCGGTTTAATTGGGGATGCTCAAAATAACCGATTAACCGTTAACCAAAAAGGCGCGTTTGTGAACATTTAATAATATCAGGTAAACGATTAAAAAATATACTTTATATATTTTTTAAGTTTGGCCGCATAAGGGGTTTTATGTTTAATCGTTTACTGATGGCCGCCAGTGTTTTTATGTTGTTTATGCTCGCTCTGCGCGCCTCAAGTTTTGCCATTGTGCACTGTGTGCTCGAGTGGAAAAAGCGTGTTACCTCAGTCTTTTTTATTCTTCAGTCAAATTAAAGCACTGCAGGGTTTCTGTTGAGGTGACAGTGGGGTTGGGTTGTCAAGGCGACTATGGCAGACTTTTAAAGATGGAGGAGAGACTTGTGGTCGCTTTTTAAGTTATCCAGAGCTGTATTACTTTACAAATCTTGAATATTACAATATTATTAAAATTACAATTATAACATCGACAGCAACTCAACTCGCGCACACCAGCTGATTCAGTCGTTTTCTAGTGACATACAAAAGAGTGCTGGGCTTTTTTTTTTCTTGTCAACATAAAAGGTAGTGCAGTGCGCCGCGCATGTTTAAGGATTAAAAGAATTAGAGGATTAAAATAGAATTAAAGGATTAAAATATTACAAAAGTATGTTATTTTTTAGCCTACCTAAATATAAAAACCACTGCCTCCATGCCTTCATCTTGGGGGGCTTTTTCAGTTTATTCATGACAATTTGCTTTTGTATAATGTTATTATTAGCATTACCCCCCAACCCAAAAAAAGAAAAAAGTTCAGGCTCTTTTTTTACTTTAACCCCTGTATATTGCGATAGAATTTTTTTCAATAACGGTGATATGATTTTTTAAACCCATTTCCAGTATTTTGATATAAATTTGCATATATATATATATATATATATATATATATATATATATATATATATATATATATATATACACACAGTGAGTTCAATAAGTATTTGATCACCCTGTGATTTTTCAATATCTCCTACTTAGAAATCATGGAGGGGTCTAGAATTTTCACCATAGGTCCTTCTCAATGTGAGAGACAGAATCTAAAAATAAAATTCAGAAATTGCATTGTATGATTTTTAAACAATTTATTTGTAAATAAGTGTCAAATAAGTATTTGATCACTTGAGTCAAAAATGCTTAATATTTGGTACAGA